AAAAAGCCAGAATAACGAATCTGGGAGCTTACACTGCAGGGATTGATCCCCAATCTGGGAAACATAATGACCTGAATTTTAACAGATACACAGGTTGGAAACAAGGTTTTGAATGAATACAAGGCAGAAGGTTGGAACTAAGACAACTGCATATATCTGAAGCTTTAAATTGCAACATCTTCCTTAAAAGAATGGATGAAAGGAAACGTTTACTCACTGTCCTAAAGGAGAACAAGGATGCTTGTGGCTCTTGGCTTGGGCAGAGTGGGTAAGAAAAAATAATCTCCCCTCAGAATTCTTATCATAGGCCTTCACGCATATAGATTTCGAATTCAAATTTATGCTACTTGAATAATCTCAGATCTCCCAAGCCAAGAACTCCACTGAAAAAAAGCACTTATAAGTAGATAATACCCTGGGAACATTAGGAGGAAGAAAAGGCAAGAGGCACACAATCTCCACAGAATTCCCAGAACAAGATTAGACCTGTAATGTAGAACTACTAAAGAAAGACTTTTAGATATCTGTATTTTAAATAATAAAGGAAGACAGTATAAAAAGAATCTATAGATTTGGGAGAGAACCACATAGAACAGGAAAAATTTAAATAGACATCGAAATTAAAAACTAAATGGATAGGTGTAAGAGATTAAATATGCTTGAAAAGTGGTCTACTGAACTTTGAAATAATTTTTCAAAATTAACTGTAATGTAACAGAAGAGCAAAGAGATATAAAATCTTAAAAACCATTAAAATATGGGTGATGCAAAGAAAAGGCTATAATTATTTAATACTTAGGAGAAAATAATAGAAGGAATGGTAGGATGAGAAACACTTAAAGAAACAATGGCAGATAAACTTCTGAACTGACAAATGAATTATTCAGATTCAAGAAGCACAGATTTAAGAAGTCCTGAGTAGAATAAACAACAACCAAAAAAAAATCCTAACTAGATAAATCATAATGAAACTTCAGGACACCAAAGATAGCTTTAAAGGTTGTTTTGTTTTCTTTTTTCTCTATCAGAGAGAAATGACAAGTTACTCACATGAAATGACAATTAGACTTCTCAGCAGCAAGATGTATATATAGAAAGAAAATAAAATTATATTTACAATTTTAAATTCTAAAATTATATATACCTAAATTTCTATATCCAGATAAATTTCTATTCAAGACTAAGGGCAAAACAAAACTAAAGACATTTTAAAGGAAGACTGAGGGAATTTACCACCAAGACACTATCTCTAAGAGATCTACTAAAGGAACTATTTCAGGAATGAAGGTGATAATTCAGAAGAGCAAAGTTAGAGGAAAGTTTACTTGTTTACCCAATGGCAAACATGTGGGTAAATCATTAGTGTTCCTAAAAACAAGATAACACTAAAATATTGAATAACAGCATTTAAGATGGGTATTGGAAAGCTGAAAGTTTTCTAATACCCTGGTACCTATTTGAAAGCAAGCAGAAATATTGAATAATTTTAGAGGATGTCAAATCAACCGTGCTTTAAAATGTTAAAGGTGACCACCACTAGATAAGCAGAGGAAAAGAAGAGGATTAATGAAAATTAATCAGTACAATAGAAACTTGGGGGTGGGGTGGGGAGCATAGTATATAGAAAGCACAAACTGAGATAATGGAAATAAATCTAAAATTACTAGCAATCAGAATAAATATAGCTGAAATAAACTCATCATTTAAAAGACAAACATTGGATTGGTTAAGAATAAATCCGGTTATATACTGTTGGAAGAAACACATCCAAAAACATAATGACTCACGTGTGTTCAAAGTAAACAGGTAAGAAAAAAATACCAGGGAAATATTTTTTAGAACTGAGCTAATTAGATTAATACCCAAAAAAAATAAATATTAAATAAAAACATTAATAAAAAGGATCATTACATAATAACAAATGGAATAATTCTTTTTGAAAGACAAATTCTGAGTTTCTATGTGTCTAAGACACAGCCTCAAATTATATAAAGAATAAAAAGGCAGAATCTCAAGAAGATGTGGACAAATCTATCATAAGAGAGTGATTTTAACATAACTCATTTTGTTATTTATAAATCAGACAGAAGAAAATTGGTAAATAAATGGAAGAAATCAACAACTTGATGTAATTTAGTGTATAGAGCCCTATCCAATCACTAGCAATTATACTTTCTCCAGTAGATGTAGAACAATTGCAAAACCTGACAACTTGCCAGCCAAAAAGGAAGGCTCAAAAAAGACTAAACAATTTGTCATACAGAACGTATTCTCTGACCTAAACACAATTTAATCAGAAATCAATAATCAAAGAAACTCTGAAAAACGCATTTAAATAACCTTTAAATGAGGAATCATAACAGGTACTGAAAAATATTTAAAATTTTATAATTATAACACTACCGTTCAAAACCTTGGCATGCAGCTAAAGTGATATCTACAGAAAATGTATACCTTCCTTGGAATATTAGAAAGAATATTAGACTAGAAGAAAATTGGTAAGATAAATATGTAAACACAGGAATGAAAAATAAATTATCAACAAGGCTCCACATCTCAAAGCTTACTCACTGAAAGAAATAAACAAAATACAAAAAAGCTCTGACAAGATTATGCTAGTTTGCAAGAGGTGAAGTGGAGTGTTTAATGGGACAAAACAAAAATAGTGTTATGGATGGAGAGCAGGGCATACAGATAGAATAAAACTTTAAAACAGTAGAAAACGCTGTGAACCATTTGAATGAAATGGCAACTTTTCTTGAGAAGAAAATACAACATATCAAACCTGCTCACAATAAAAATTAGAATATTTGAGAAGAGCGATTATCGTGAAATAATTTAAATCAGTAATTAAAAATTTACCCACCAAAAAAAGAAACAACATTAAGTCGAAAGCTTGGTTAGTGGGTTCTACTCCAAATGCTCAAGGATGTATTTCCCAAATTACGTTAGGAAGCTGATATAATCCTTGTCCCAGGATTGAAAGTCATCTAATTTTAGAGAAATCTATTGTCTCATTTACTGATTAAAGGACAAAATATATATATGATCATCTCAATAGACACAGACAGAATAGATGATTAAAACTCAGAACATTCTGACAATTTAAAAAATATTTAATAAAAGAACAGAAAGGGACTTCCTTATCTGGAGACACAGTATCAATTCAAACCCCAGAGAAAACATTACATTTCATGGCAAAACACTGAAAGCATTTTGGGAATAAGAAAGGGCGCCTACTCTCCTTGTTTCTTGTCAGCATTTTATTGCTGGTCCTAGCTAGCACTGTGAGACATAAAAAAGAAATGAAAAACATAATGAGAGGACAGAATGAAAGAAAACTACATCAGGTCACAGACAGCAAGATTTTGTAGAAAACTCAAGAGACCCAGTGGAAAATGTGGCACATATACACCATGGAATATTATGCAGCCATCAAAAACGATGAGTTTGTGGCCTTTGTAGGGACATGGATGAACCTGGAAACCATCATTCTCAGCAAACTGACAGAAGAGCAGAAGATCAAACACCACATGTTCTCACTCATAGGCGGGTGTTGAACA